CCGACCACCTGCCACAGCCGCCGCCGCCAAGCACCTCCACTGCCAAGGCCGGATGCCCGCACCGCCAACTAGCAACCGCCGGCCTACCACCGCCCATCGCCGGCCTACCATCGTTTGCAGGGGACCAACTCCGGTGCCGTTTAATTTATTCACCTTTAAAAAAAAGATTTTCTATCATTGAAGGGACTTGAACCTTAACCCTCAAAGGAGGAGGGCTCACTCACAAACCACTATACCAAACTTGATTTTGTAATATTTATTCAATTATACAATATTTATATAAACAATCAACGGTTTTTTTTATTAAAAAAAAAAAAAAATCATTTCAACACATATTCACACAAAAACTGCAAATAAAAACAAAAACTGCAACAAAAATAAAATGTAGATATCAATTATGTAAAACAAAAACAAAAATAGCAACAAACACAAAAATTAATTTTATATAGAAGCAAAATAGAGGAACCAAGATGAAAGTACTAAAATGGAAATTGCGATGCAGAAACAGAAACTACAATGTAGAAGTGGAAACTGCAATGCAAAAACGGAAACTGCAATGCATAAATAGAAACTGCAATGCAAAAATGGAAACGCAATGCTGAGTTTGGGCAAAAATGCTCAGCTGGAGTTAAACAAAACAAAACAATATATTTTTTTTTTAATTCAAGACTTGTTGGGAGAGGGGGAATTAGACTGAACACCACCTAGAATGTAATATAGGTTATTCATGTTTCTGTTTTCTGCATTGCAGGTTTCGTTTTTTGCATTGTAGGTTCCGTTTTCTGCAATGCAGTTTCTGTTTTCTGCAATGCAGTTTCCGTTTTCTGCATTGCAGTTTCCATCTTCTCTTGCCCACCCAATTCCTCATCTGTGTAGCCTTTACTCTTTAAATTGGTGAGGTTGAAGACCAAGGAAAGAGCAAACATCCAATTGTAATTACCAAAACTGCAATGCAGTTTCTGAAACTGTAATGTAGTTTGTGCAAAACTACAATGCAAAACCTGTATAAAATTTCACTGAACTAAAGCTTAAACGATATTGCAAAATATCATATGATAGTGATGGCATCAACCATTTCCAAATCAAGACAAATGCATAGTAAGTGAGCTTTATAATAAGAAGTTGCAGCTAAATTAGATCATTGCTTGACCTCATTGAGGCATTTAATCGAACATTTGGTGGGTAATTTGTAAGGCTAATGTAGATCCACCCCTACTGAAAAATAAAGAAATATAATGCTACAAGCGGAAACGAAAAATAGAGACATGGAGAAACTCAGACCTCAACCCTTAGGTATAACAAATCAAGACTTTTAATAACATCCTTTTCTTCCTGTAAAAAGGTCATAAATACCTAAAATCAATAAGCTGGAAAGTGGGAAAAAGAACAATGAGGAAATGTGAGAGATTAACGACGAAAATGTTATTATAGATTATCTATAACATTAGACTGATCCGAAACTACTCGTTAGTTTGAGTTTGCTGATCTCAAGCTATCAGTAAGGCTGGCCAGTTTATTGAAGCCAACTACTAACTTATAGGATATGAAAATAACAACTTCATTTCTAGCATTAAATCAGTCTTTTAATAACTATCCTATACCAATCTTGTGAAAAGAAATATATTACATTTTTCTTGACCAGAATTTTGATATTATTTTCCATTGCAAAACTTTGAAATCTGAGCTATGCTTAAAACCTTAGACTCACATATGGTACTGAAGATAAATGTTGCTATGCCCGGCAATAGACTGATATTAACGAGGAAAATGTTAAAGACACTCCCACGATCAACTTACATCACGTCGAGCGAGGTCAAGACGATTCCATATGACCATCAAAGCAAGTTCAATCAATTCTCCTTTCTCAGCATCTTCCTCAATTTTCTGCATATATTACATAATGAACATCAATTAACCCACAGTCTGAGCTGAAGTAGGAAATTTCAATAAAGCATGCATAAGGAATTGAAAGTGTTCACGGTTTTTTATATTACCTTTTCCGAGCTTTCCGAACATCTTCTTCCGGATAACCCTTCAATCTCATGCCAATTTCACGATACTCTTCAACCTTTCTTTCCCCCTCTTCGTCTTCCTCTTGACGTACGTCTTCGATGCAACTCCTTTGTTTTCTCCCTTTGCAGAGCCGCAAGTCAAGCAACTTGAGAATTTCATCGCAGGTGAAGGCCGTAGTTGTCATTGTTGCGGAGAGCGAGAGAGAGAGATCGACATTATTTTTCAGAAAAGATTTTCGGATGAGAATCTCGATTGCCACGTGTCTTATTCCAGATAAAATTTTCGGATATTCATTAAAAAAAATTATAATCTCATATTTCAGATAAGATTTTCACCTTCTAAAATTGTGTCACGTGTCCCATGTCAGATAAGATTTTCAGATATTTTAAAAAAAATTATAATCTCATATTTCAGATAAGATTTTCACCCTCTAAAATTTTGCCACGTGTCCCATGTCAGATAAGATTTTCAGATATGTTTAAAAAATTATAATCTCATATTTCAGATAAGATTTTCAGCCTCTAAATTTGTGCCACGTGTCATCTCTATCTTCTGAATCCCTCTATAAAACTACACCATCAACTTATACCTCACACACCATCTCTTATCTATTCCTTCATTTCTCAAATTTTACAAAACACTTTCTACTCTCAATGTCAAACTTGAGGAGGGTGTTGGAGAGGCAACATAAACAAAGGGAAGAAATCCGGTGTAGACGTGCTGAAGAAGATCGGGATGCCGATGAAGAAGAGAAACAAATGCTTGCAGCAGTGGTGTGTATGCTTAATCAATTAGGGCAACACCGTCGTCGTGCCCCGAATGTGGACAGACGTAGGGAGTCTCGGGATAAGAATCTCTTGGAGGATTACTTTATCCCAAATTCGTTATATCCTGAATATAAGTTTCAAGAGAGATATAGAATGCAACCACATTTGTTCCAAAAAATCATGCATGATATTTGTAATTATGACACATACTTCATTCAAAAGCATGATGCTATTGGAGTTTTGGATCTTATCCCGGAGCAAAAACTTACAGCTGCTTTGTGGATGCTTGCTTATGGGGCATCTGCAGAGCAGGTGGATGAGATTGCAATGATGGGAAAATCTACTATCCTAGAGTGCTTGGTGAGATTTTGTGATGCAGTGGAAAATTTGTACACGAGGGAGTACCTTCGCAAACCCACGCTGAGGGACCTGCAAAGGCTTCTAAAAAAAGGCGAGGATCGAGGTTTCCCATGAATGATTGGAAGCATCGATTGCATGCACTAGCAGTGGAAGAATTGTCCTACTGCTTGGCAAGGAGAGTATGGGAATCGGAATGGCCAAAAAAGTATAATTTTGGAGGCCGTAGCTTCATTCGACACTTGGGTTTGGCATGCCTTCTTCGGGGTTTTCGGATCTTAGAATGACCTCAATGTCCTTGGTCAATCCCCGGTGTTCGACAAGGTATTGCGAGGTCATTCCCCCCAAGTCACGTACCAAATCAACAATACCGTATACTCTGGTGCGTACTACCTTGCCGACGGAATTTATCCTAGGTGGACGACATTCGTGAAAACAATTCCAAATCACCAATCCGAGAAGGAAAGAAGCTTTGCTTCCTTTCAAAAAGGTTGCAGGAAAGACGTGGAGAGGTGTTTCAGTATCTTGCAAGCTCGTTGGGCAATTATTAGGGGTGCTGCTCGGATGCTAGATGAGGAGGTGTTGCGGACTATTATGATGACTTGCATCATCCTCCACAACATGATTGTGGAGGATGAGTATGACTACGATGCTCCAGAGGTGTTTGAACCCGATCCCATGAACACGGCGTTGACAAGAATATATGAAAGGCCGATGGGACCAAATAGACTACCAATGGAGCCTGAACGTTACTTCGGGATGGTCGATTCAACAACCCCATGATTGATCGTTATCAAGAAATGCAATCTTCATATGTTCACAAGAGACGTCAAGTTGACTTGATCGAGCACTTGTGGGAGATGAAAGGTAATCACAATGGATGAAGTCAAGATTAGTGCTTTGTTTGGAATTATGCTTTGTTTTTAATTATGCTTTATTTTGTGTGTGGTGTTTTTTGAAATTATGCTTGTTTTTATTATTATGCTTTTATGTATGGTTTGTTTTGTGTGTTGTTTGCAATAAATTAAGGTGTGTTTTTAATTAATCTTTGTGTTGATGCTCAAAGGTTTTTAATAAATAGTCATATTATTTAATGCTTTGTTTATTGAATAAAAAGGAAACAATACAACAAATTAAAGGATAATACAACAATACAACAAAACAACATATGGCAAAGGTGTTTCAATACAACCTAATGGTTTTCATCATTTAACCAATCCGTATTGCTAGGTTCGTCATCTTGGAAAAGTTTTCTTCTCATCACATTCCTTCGTCTTAGCTTCCAATAGGCCTTTGTTTCAGGAGACATATGGCTCGTATCCATGGCCATGATTTTCATCTCTCTATCTGCCGCCTTTCTCCCAATAGGTCTCGGCGGACGTGGGAGTGGTGACTCTGTTTCCATTGGGGAGTCCAATGGCGAATCGGTTGATGGCGAATCGTGGAGCGGCGTCTCATTCAACACAACCGGAGGACCGGTGGGAATAATTTTGAATCTCGAACAATCCTTCACAACTTCCCAACATTGGAAATGCACGAAACTTTTTTTGCCTTGCCCCATGGCACCGAACCACATTTGTGCTTGTATGATCTATTAAAAATAAATAATTGGAAGTGCAAGAAAAAAATATTACAAATGCAAGAAAATATAAACTATTTTGAAATGCAAGAATAAAATTAATTATGCAAGAAAATATAGACAAATTGGAAATGCAAAAAGAAAAAAAAAAGATTATGCAAGAAAAAGAAATAGAATATGCAATAAAAAAAAGTTACATTAAATTGATTAAAATGGCAATTATAAAGATTTTACCTCATCGGATAGATTTTGACCGCTTCGAATGTTCTCCCTTGCTTTTGTCAACGCATTTCTCCATTTTCCTAACTCTTTATTTAGAAGTTTCCATCTACTAGATAAGGCCATTTCGGTCCACCCAATCTTTGACAAAATTCTCCATGAATTTTGCTCCACATATGATGGAAATTCATCTCATTGCCCATGATAAGGTCATGACTAACGTTCACCCAAGACTAACACAGCGCAATATCTTCCTGAGTTGCCCACGAGCCTCCAGCTTCGACAGAAGATGCCATTTGTTTTTTTTTTTTACAAATGAAAAGTAGTAGAAAAATGTGAGTGGAGAGTAAAAAATATTGGAAGGAGAAGAGTTTGTATGGAGAATTGGTGTGGAAAGTGAAAAATGTGAGTAGAGAGTAAAAAATATTGGATGGAGAAGAAATTGTATGAAGATTTGGTGTGGAAAGTAAACAAAATGGTTAGGTATTTATAGGGAAAAAATACATAATTTTTTGGTATTTTTTTTTTAAAATTTCAGAATTTTTTCGATTTGTTTTGCAATTTTTTTAGCCAAAAAAAGAGGACCATCGGATTTCTGGAAAAAAACCGATCGGAGAGTCCCAGTTGCGACACGTGTCACATGCCCGTTGGAGTCTGTCAGCGCGCGGAAGTCAAATTTTTTTACCGTTGGCGCGTGTAATTCACGCGCCAATGGTAAAAAAAATTTGAATTCCTTCGCATTGGCGTCATCGCCCTCGGGCTGAAGCGCGTGTAATTCACGCGCCAACGGTAAAAAAAATTTGAATTCCTTCGCGTTGGCGTCACCGCCCTCGGGCTGAAGCCCAGGCGAAACCTGCCCTTGGGCTTGCCCGGGCTGGTGGGACCCAGGGCTTGCCCGGGCTTGAGGCTGCGCGTTGGAGCTCCCTTGGGCTTGCGAGGGGGGCCTTTTGCCCTGGTTTGGTGCAGCGCTGGAGCTGCTCTAATCTTATCAAAAAGGGAAACCAATGAATCTGGGTCAGGCTTTTAAACAAAAAGGATATAATTGTCTTTTCAATAATTAATATAAGGTGGGCCAACAAATTTGGGCCTCTCTTTGACAAAATCTAAAACAAAATTTCATTCCTAGGTATTAAAACCCAAACAAAAATATTGTTTGTCTCAAATACTAATTAGTAAAGATAGTTATGTCTAATAACTCATTTTTCTTTTATTTTATTTGGGCTTTTTATCACAAATGGTCCTTCACGTTTACGAAATTATTACGAATGGTCCTTGAGGTTTTTTTGTGACACTAATAGTCCTTAACGTTTGGGTTTTTTTTATCACAAATGGTCCCTGCCGTTACAAATTCTGTTAAGTGTGATGTGGAAGATAAGTGGAGCCCACATGTCCAATCACATTGTGACATGTGGATAAAAAATAATTAAATAATTTTTTTAATGAAAATTCGAATTTTTTTTATGCAACTTTTCATCCCCCTTCTTACTCCGTCTCTCTCCCCCTCTGCCCTCGCTCTCCACCCTTTGCTCTCCTTTCTGTGGTTCTGCTGTTGGGTTTTGTTATGTTTGAGTGGTTTTCTGATGTTTGGTTTACAATTACTGTGATTACATTTGCAGGGCATATAGATCACTCTGCTAGAGTGATGCGTGTTATTACATGGAATCGTTCTTTTAGAGGAATTCCAAATGTCGATGATGGCAAGGATGACTTCGACTCAGAAGAGCATGAAACTCAAGCTAGAGTTTTGGATAAGTTGCTGGCATGGGAGAAAAAGCTATATGACAAAATCAAGGTACTAAAAAACTTAATCAGTTTCGTTTTGCTATCATTGTGATAGAGAAACTGTGTGAGAAATAGATAGAGAGGTTGTGCATTCAGGTCTCAAAGGTTCTAACTATTTAGGGCTCCACTGATATCAATATTTTGGTTTAATTACTACATTGTTGTACACAATTTCATGAAAATGTATATCTTATATTTTTTTCTTGTAGGTGGCAGTGGCAAAGAAAAAAACAGAGGGAGAAGAGATGGAGAGCAAAGGGTGGAGAGCGAGGGCAGAGGGGGTGAGAGACGGAGTAAGGAAGGTGGATGAAAAGTTGCAGAAAAAGAAAAAAAGGAATTTTCATTAAAAAATTATTTAATTATTTTTTATCCACATGTCGCAATGTG